TACCAGAGGACCCAAAACAGAAAACGGGACAGTAGGACACTTTCGCCAGCCGCTTCCATTTTTTCTAGTACGGCTATGTTTTGGCCTTATATAACGCATACGAGCGAAAAGCGACGTTCTATGTAGGAGGACAGCGTTGACTAATCTTGGATTGCTGTTCACAGACTTCAGTTGCTAAACAAAAATCAGGAAAATTGATGTTTCTGAAGGAAAGTTAATATTTCTGATCCAATTCGTTGTATGTAGACTCTCCAATACAGCTGTGGCTGGTTGACCCAGCCCTCAAGAACAGACCAACATATTAGGAATGCGATATGCCACCAGCACAGAGGTAAAACACTTACCCCAACAATTTTACGCAATTTTAGCGTTTTAACCAGCCGAAATACGCGAAATTTTTAGAACGCATTTTGTCAACATACTCTCACATTAACAATTCAGAGCTGTAATAAATGTCTGGCTAATAATGCATAGTTGTAATGACCAAACCACTCACCCGAAGATGAGGAGACGACGGCGACGTTTCGGTCCGTCCATCGTCACAATCGAGTTGATATTGGTCCAGGACGGACCGAAATGTCGTCGCCTCATCATCTGGTGTGTGTGAATTAATCATCATATCTTCAGCCACGTTATTGTGACTCATCGTCCGCGTGCATAGTTGAATTCAATAAAAGCATGTGCAATGTTAGCTTGCAAACTTAAAAAATAACTCGTGACGTGAAATAATACCAAAAATAATAATAATTAAAAAATAAGATTAATAATCTAAATATTAAGGTGATTTCGACACATCTCAGTCGTTTGCCCTGCGAGAGACGCTCCTTAACTACCCAATTGGCTTGTGACACCAGAGTGCCCCCATCCCCTCCTCCTCCCCCTTTCCTGACTTACAGCCACCACTAATTGATAATTGATAACTATGACCCCCAGAAAAAATATATATGCACGAATAGAAGGCAATAGTTGAAAATGATAAAGCCGGGTCCAGTGTCCGTATATACTTATTTCTCGAATTATATTTTGGTTTCAATTACGGGCTGGCGTAGGGCAGGGGGATTGACTGGGTCCCCAGCTGACATTTCTCCCCCAGGGGGGAATTTTTCGAAATATCATTATTATATTATTATTTTTATTATATTATCGCTGCTCAATAAAATCCCAATAACGCGATGAATCAACGAGAAATCGTTGATTTTATTATTAATAATAATAATATTATTAATCCTAATTCAGAATCAATTAGCTCTGCATATATATATTTTTTCCTGGGAACAAGGCAGCGAGGAGAGAAATTATTAAGAGCGACTCACAACAGGTTAATGTCTCATATAAGCCAGAGAACCCCACCACCGGTCGTGGAGGAGGAGTACCAGGTGTGGAGAGTAATGTAAAGTGAGGGGAATACGGTGACCTTTGACCTCTGGTCACCCCTGGAGAGTCTCTGCTGATGTCATTTGCAGTTAATCATTTTTCCTTTTTCAAAATTATGCTCTGCTGAGACGGGGGAGGGAACGATATATATATATATATATATATATATATATATATATATATATATATATATATATATATATATATATATATATATATATATATATATAACATATATATATATCTTGCTGGTTAGTTAACAAGCTATTACGTGGCCTAAACAACCCTACAGAGATTATAACAACTCTCGCAGGTTATAGGCCTTAAGCCCAACATGAATGTCTAATTTCTATTGATATTATATTTTTCCATAAAATATTTTTTATAAATATTTCAGTTTGAATACAAAACTAATTATTTCTGAGTCAAACTTATCAAATCTTGTCTAACCTGCCTATGGTTATTATTCCAAAAGTCAACATAACTGAGGGGAAACAAGGCCTATATAATTATAGACAAATTATTGCGTTCTGGCTATAAGGGTCAATAGACCTAACCTTAGGTACAACAGAGGATTGTCGGCCTTAATGAGTTAGGGAAAATTCAAGATATTCTCACAAATTTTCGAGGATCTGGGATATTTTGGATAATATAAAAATGTGTAGATCTAAAACAAATTACAGGATTTAGCATATCGTAGAAAATTTTGAGCGTCTTTTGCTTAAAGATAAAGAATCATTATTTGTTTTCCTGAAGCGAAGGTTTTAATTTTTTTAAATAATAAAGTGATTCCAGTTATATTGTGGAAACGTAAGTGGATGATTTAGCTTTGAGAGGTCTAATGTATATGTTGTTTTAGCTTCAGCTACTACAGCTTCAGCCCAAGTAGCACGGGCTATGGCGAGCCCGTATCTAATATATACCAGTTTGGGTCATTGATATCCACCACCATCCTACACGGTGAAAACCCGCACGAGTGGATAACGCTCGGAGAGTCGAAGTCCAAAGGGCCCGGGTTCGATTCCCGTCTGAGGTACAAACAAATTGACAGGGTTTCTTTCAATCTGATACCCCTGTTCACCTAGCAGTAAAATATATGTACCTGGGAGTTAGACAACTGCTACGGGCTGCTTCCTGGGGATATGTGTGTGTGTGTGTATGTGTGTGTATGTGTATGTGTGAGTGTGTTTGTGTGTGTGTGTGTGTGTGTGTGTGTGTGTGTGTGTGTGTGTGTGTGTGTGTGTGTGTGTGTGTGTGTGTGTGTGTGTGTGAGAATTATATGTAGTAGATATAACAAAGGAAAAATAGATTGGTTAGAAAGGCGGGGGTCCAAGAGCTAATAGCTCACAAGAGAGACTACATAAGAGGAATTGCAAACAATCCCAATCCCCCCAATCCCCTGGGGGATTGGGGGATTGGAGCGATTCTGGGCATGGGGTGTACGGATAATGTATACACCTTTACTCTACTAATACCAATAATGTATACTCCTTTCGTATAATGTATTCGGATAATGTATACTACTTTAATGTATACTCCTTTTTCCTAGTTATTCCGGAAAGAACGATCGAACGGGTTCAGGGGGGGGGGGGTTCCGGGTCGTTGAAGCACTTCAAATCTTTGGTGTTGGAGGGTTCAGAAATACTGATGTTTGGGAACAGCAGTGTTCGGTTGGTTTGGTTCGGTTAAGCATTAGGAAGTGTTCGAAAATTGGTGAGATAGATTATTGTACCGTTTGAAAGATGACTGCAGGCGGTGATGGTTGTGGTGTGTGGTAGTTGGTGGTGGTAGTGGTGGTGGTAGTGGTGGTAGTGGTGGTGGTAGTGGTGGTGGTAGTGGTGGTAGTAGTGGTGGTGGTAGTTGGTGGTGGTAGTTGGTGGTGGTAGTGGTGGTAGTGGTGGTGGTAGTGGTGGTAGTGGTGGTGGTAGTGGTGGTGGTAGTGGTGGTGGTAGTGGTGGTGGTAGTTGGTGGTGGTAGTGGTGGTGGTAGTGGTGGTGGTAGTGGTGGTGGTAGTGGTGGTGGTAGTGGTAGTGGTGTGTGGTGGTAGTGGTGGTGGTAGTGGTAGTGGTGTGTGGTAGTTGGTGGTGGTAGTGGTGGTAGTAGTGGTGATAGGGATAGTGGTGGTGCTGACCGGTGCTCACCAAAATAGTACCTATAGAGAACCAAGCTCTAGCTCAGCATCCCCCGCCTGCTACGGGGCCTTGATGTGCCTGATCCTTTTGACATCAATTTTCGCCCAGGGTTGATACCTGGTTGATGCCTGGTTGATGCCTGGTTGATGCCTGGTTGATGCCTGGTTGATGCCTGGTTGATACCTGGTTGATGCCTGGTTGATACCTGGTTGATGCCTGGTTGATGCCTGGTTGATGCCTGCTTGATACCTGGTTGATGCCTGGTTGATGCCTGGTTGATGCCTGCTTGATGCCTGGTTGATACCTGGTTGATGCCTGGTTGATACCTGGTTGATGCCTGGTTGATGCCTGGTTGATACCTGGTTGATGCCTGGTTGATACCTGGTTGATGCCTGGTTGATGCCTGGTTGATACCTGGTTGATGCCTGCTTGATGCCTGGTTGATACCTGGTTGATACCTGGTTGATACCTGGTTGATACCTGGTTGATGCCTGGCTGGTTGATACCTGGTTGATACCTGGTTGATACCTGGTTGATGGGGTTCTGGGAGTTCTTCTACTCCCCCCAAGCCCATCCCGAGCCCAGGCTTGACTTGTGAGAGTTTGATCCACTAGGCTGTTGCTTGCAGTTATGTTCTTGTGTTGTGAGTCTGGGCCTAACAGTTGTGGAGGGAGGTGGCTTCCACAACATGTTCTTTCTGTGTATTTCACACTTGTTTTTCCTTACATTTTGTTCCTCTCATTTGCGGTTCCTGCTCCCACCTGTGTCGTCTTGTCCTGCTGCTTCGATAGTTAGAGCTGCGCTTGTCCTTTGTTGGCGTTGTTTGTGTTGTGAAGGTGGAATGGTTGTTGGTGGGGGGGGGGGGGGGGTGGTGGTGGTGGTGGTGGTGGTGGTGGGGGGTAGTGGTATGGGTGGAGGTGGTGATGGTGGTGGTGTTGGTAACACTGCCTGCAGGAGACTGTGGTGGTGGTGTTGGTAACACTGCCTGCAGGAGACTGTGGTGGAGGTGTTGGTAACACTGCCTGCAGGAGACTGTGGTGGTGGTGTTGGTAACACTGCCTGCAGGAGACGGTGGGGGGGGGTCGCTGGGTACTGCAGGAGTGAGCCGGGTCCCGCAGGCCGGCAGAGTGTTGGAGGAGCAGTGGTGGAGGAGGAGGAATGTTGGAGGAGCCGCCCTCAGCCGCGCCAGCGACGGGGCGGTTGGCTCAAAGGACCTCATTACTATGTTAATGTTGGCCACTTGTGCCGCGCCTCCGCCCACGCCCCACGCCCACCAGCCACGCCCACCCTCTCTGGTGGGTGGGTGGGGAGGGAGGGGGAGGGGCTATGTCTTAGCCATGCATGCCTTAGCCCCGCCTCCTTCCCGTCGCCTCAGCCAATCATCGCCCGCCACCTGGTCACGTGACTCGCGCGGCGGTCAACTGCACCGGCCTCTGCAGGAGTCAGTGCGCCCCACGCTGCATACCCGCCCGCACGCCCACGCCCACGCCCGCGGCAGCGTAAAAAGTGGGCGGGAAACAAGCATTTTGAGGGGGGGGCGGCACACCCCCTCTTCCCCCCCCTCTCTCTCTCACAGAACCCACCATGCCGCGCCCCACCAGGGACAGTTACGGGGATCAGAAGCCGCCGTACTCGTACATCTCCCTGACGGCCATGGCCATCTGGAACAGCCCGGAGAAGATGTGCACGCTGGCAGAGATCTACAAGTTTATTATGGACAACTTCCCCTACTACCGCAAGAACACTCAGCGCTGGCAGAACTCCCTGCGCCACAACCTCTCCTTCAACGACTGCTTCATCAAGATACCCCGCCGGCCAGACAGGCCCGGCAAGGGCGCCTACTGGACTCTACACCCGTCCGCCATGAATATGTTCGAGAACGGCAGCTTCCTCCGCCGCAGGAAGAGGTTCAAGATACCCAAGCCCGAGAAGGACGCCCTCGAGGCCGGCCTCGCGCAGATCGGCCCGCCGCAGCCGCAGGTGCGGCCGCTGCCGCCGCCGCCGCTGCCGCTGCCCCCCCTCAAGCCGCCAGGAGAGGGGCCGCTGCCACCCACACTACACCTCCTGCCGCCCCCGCTACTCTACCCGCCGCCCCTAATCTACCCTAGCGGGTGGGCGGCCGCCCCTTTCCTCCATTCAATATCCTACCTCCCGCCGCCGCCGCCACTGCCGCTGCCGCCGCCGCCCGTGCCACCACGCCCCATCAAGCCCACGCCCGTGCTGGCCCGCCCCCCGCCGCCGCCCCTGGAAGCTGGTATTATGGGCGTGACATAGGCCCCTGATCCGTATTCAGGGCTGTGGCGGTGCCCTAAGCCAGCCTTGTGTTGCTCTGTATCAGCCCGAGGGCTCACCTGGGGCAGTGAAGCAGCCCTGGGGCTCGTCTGGGGCAGTGAACCAGCCCTGGGGCTCACCTGGGGCTCACCTGGGGCAGTGGACCAGCCCTGGAGCTCACCTGGGGCAGTGAACCAGCCCTGGGGCTCACCTGAGGCAGTGAACCAGACCTAGGGCTCACCTGGGGCTCACCTGGGGCAGTGAACCAGCCCTGGGGCTCACATGGGGCTCACCTGGGGCAGTGAACCAGACCTAGGGCTCACCTGTGGACAGTGAACCAGCCCGAGGGCTCACCTGGGGCAGTGAACCAGACCTAGGGCTCACCTGGGGCTCACCTGGGGCAGTGAACCAGCCCTGGGGCTCACCTGGGGCAGTGAACCAGCCCGAGGGCTCACCTGGGGCAGTGAACCAGACCTAGGGCTCACCTGGGGCAGTGAACCAGACCTGGGGCTCACCTGGGGCAGTGAACCAGCCCGAGGGCTCACCTGGGGCAGTGAACCAGACCTAGGGCTCACCTGGGGCTCACCTGGGGCAGTGAACCAGACCTAGGGCTCACCCGTGGACAGTTTCAGTGCAATAAATACATATCAAGAACAGTGACCAAGAATCAATGAGTTATGAGATGAAGTGAGGTGTACCAATGGTACATTTGCAGAGGTACGGTGTGGTGTTGCAATGGTGCACTGATCATGGGGTACAGCTGCAATGTTGCAACAGTGTCCTCTGTGTCTCTAACACCCACCACCTCCCCCCACTTCCCTACACCCAGTTACACCTTCCCCTACACCCACCAACACCCCCTACACAGGCATATCTCCACATAAAGGATTCCAAGATGTATTGTTGACAGCTGTGGATTGCAGGCCAAACTATCCCCGTCCCAGCGTGGTGACGACACCTCACAGTTCAACTATCCCTCCGTGTCCCCTAGCACTAGAGGCAAGTATCCTCACACAGCCTCACAGCTGTGAGTTAGTACAGGTGTTGAACATCACACATGAGGTGCAAATGTTTGCACATGTCACCTCCAAACTGGTCGACAGCCATATGTCACCCTTCGACGCTAATATCTGGGTGTTCGGTACGCCGAATCGACATGTACTTCATCGTGTCGATTCGAGCGTGAGCTTGTCCTGACTGGAGAAGCGTGAGTGAGTGTGAGTGTGAATCTGTGAAGCAGATGACTATCAAACAATTCTGAATATGAAAAATTTGGAATCCCAGTGATTGGCATCCTACACGCGGATGGGTGCCTAGTTAATCCCACTCACCTAGCAACTCCAATGGCTAGGACCCATTGGTCATAGCCACTCATAGCTAGGACATAGACCTAGCAAGTTTAACTTAATAGAAACTCATGCAATATACCTCAATTTCCTCTCAATCCCATATTCAGCATCCAAGACAATGTGTGTGAGAGAGAGAGAGAACAGGCCACAATGATCCCATCTCAACTGTGTTCAACTGTTCAGTGCTCTTGAACAAGAACATATTTATGAACAAAAACACCCCACCAGCTTTTTTGATCCCATCTCCACTATGTTCAACTGTTCAGTGCTCTTGAACAAGAACATATTTATATACAAAAACCCTCCACCAGCTTTTCTGACCCCATCTCCACTGTGTTCAGCTGTTCAATGCTCTTGAACAAGAACATTTTTGTGAACAAAAACCCTCCACCAGCTTTTTAATCACATCTCAACTGTGTTCAACTGTTCATTACTCTTGAGCAAGAACATTTTTGTGAACAAAAACCCTCCACCAGCTTTTTTAATCACATCTCAACTGTGTTCAACTGTTCATTACTCTTGAGCAAGAACATTTTTGTGAACAAAAACCCTCCACCAGCTTTTTTGATCCCATCTCAACTGTGTTCAACTGTTCAATGCTCTTGAACAAGAACATATTTGTGAACAAGAACACTACACCAGCTTCGTTCTCTAAGTCACCTGTGTTCTAGCTCATAGACAAAGTGATGTTATTTTTTATTATTAATATTATTATTCACTCAGCAATGTAAGTAGCGCAAATAAATTATTGTTGATCTGTTTATACAAGTTTCAGTCGCCTACTGAGGAACATAATCTCGCTGGACTATTACATGCGATTATAGACACTTATAGATGCTTATAGGTGCTTATAGACGATTATAGATTCTTATAGATGCTTATAGCCGCTTATACACGCTTATAGAGTCATATAGACGTTTATAGATGCTTATAGAGTCTTATAGACGCTTATAGATGATTATAGATGCTTATAAATGCTTATAGCCGCTTATAGACGCTTATAGACGCTTAAAGACGCTTATAGATGCTTATAAACGCTTATAGAGTCTTATAGACGTTTGTAGATGCTTATAAACGCTTATAGAGTCTTATAGACGTTTATAGACGCTTATAGAGTCTTATAGACGTTTATAGATGCTTATAAACGCTTATAGAGTCTTATAGACGTTTATAGACGCTTATAGAGACTTATAGACGTTTATAGATGCTTATAAACGCTTATAGAGTCTTATAGACGTTTATAGACGCTTATAGAGTCTTATAGACGTTTAAAGACGCTTATAGACGATTATAGAGTCTTATAGACGTTTATAGACGCTTATAGATGCTTATAGAGTCTTATAGACGTTTAAAGACGCTTATAGACTTTAAAGACGCTTATAGAGTCTTATAGACTTTAAAGACGCTTATAGACGATTATAGAGTCTTATAGACGTTTAAAGACACTTATAGAGTCTTATAGACTTTAAAGACGCTTATAGACGATTATAGAGTCTTATAGACGTTTATAGACGCTTATAGATGCTTATAGAGTCTTATAGACGCTTATCGAATCTTATTGACCCTTATAGACGCTTATAGTCATATAAGCCCTTATAAATTCTTAGAGAGTCTTATAGACGTTTATAGACGCTTATAGACGTTTATAGATAATTATAAACGCTTATAGAGTCTTATAGACGCTTATAGTCTTATAAACGTTTATAGTCTTATAGAGTCTTATAGACGTTTATAGACGCTTTTAGAGTCTTATAGACGTTTATAGATAATTATAAACGCTTATAGAGTCTTATAGACGCTTATAGACAATTCTAGACGCTGAAAGATGCTTATAGACAATTATAGACGCATATAGACACTTATAGACAATTCTAAACAATTATAATTCTAGACATATACAACTATTTCACCTAAGCAGCCACGTAGTAACTCAAGCGACTCATATATATATATATATATATATATATATATATATATATATATATATATATATATATATATATATATATATGTGTGTGTGTGTGTGTGTGTGTGTATCACGAAAATAAACACGTGATTAAGAATGTGACAATGTCAGACCACGGAGGAAAATGAAACAGGAATTTCCTTAAGTACTTTCGTATATTAAATACATCTTCAGAAGGAATGAAGATGGAATTCCTTCTGAAGATGTATTTAATATACGAAAGTACTTAAGGAAATTCCTGTTTCATTTTCCTCCGTGGTCTGACATTGTCATATATAAATATATATATATATATATATATATATATATATATATATATATATATATATATATATATATATATATATATATATATATATATATATATAGTGTCTACCTTAACGACACTAGGGTACCAGATATACGCTAAGATCTACCCTAGTAATACTAGGCACAAAATATTTGCTAAATAATATCAATACTAGATACAAGATATGTTTAAATCTACCCTAACAATACTAGGTGCAAGATATACTTAAATCTATCCTAACAATACTAGGAACAAGATACATGCTTAAATCTACCCTAACAATACTAGGTGCAAGATATACTTAAATCTACCCTAACAATACTAGGAACAAGATACATGCTTAAATCTACCCTAACAATACTAGGAACAAGATACATGCTTAAATCTACCTTCCTAGCAATAGCAATGCAAGGTAATCAATTACTACCATCTTGCAGAACCTGCTGACCAGACCACACACTAGAAGGTGAAGGGACGACGACGTTTCGGGCCGTCCTGGACCATTCCCAAGTCGATAGAACCTGACTAGTGATAATTATTACGACAAGAAAGATTGGAATAATTCAATAGTCCTTAGAGCACGTTGACAACCGATCAAGAACAAATATATAAAATACAACAAAAATACACCATAGCAAAGTATATACAATTGTATTAAATACGTTTTTTAGTTAACAAGCTTATCTTAGCGTTTGATACAATAATTGGGGATATTCAACACCATTATTGCATTTTAGATTGATCTCTGACGCACTAGAAGAATGTGGCTATTTAATAGACTATTGACTATATAATAGACTATTCAATAGTCAATTTAGACACAATAGAAAGAATGTGACTCTTTCTTAATAAGCTCCAAATGATGGAGTGTGTTAGTGTTCTAATGAGGATTGCAGCTTTATGGGGCCTGAGCTTTGATAAAATTAATTTTAGCAGACGTTTCATAGATTTTTTTTAAGTTAATATGCGTATATTGCTATTAAATATGAATACAAACAAATAAAAGTTACTCTATTATTAAAAGGTTGCAAGATTTTTTATTTGTGACGTTTTTATTAAGTTAGAATTAATAAAATATCTAATGATAATAATTGCGGACGTTAATTAGTAATTTTTGTAAAAGATGGAGTTAATTTCTCTGGGCTTTTGTCAGATAAAACTATTGTGTGTCGCTTGTCGAGGGCTTTTATATACCCCGCAGTTTATTGCTTTTTTGTATATGTTTTTAACAACTAATTGTTTACTATGTCAGCAAACATATGATATTGTTTGTTTCTTCCAAAAGCCTTCAAATGGCTGCCGGAACTCCTGGCCTTTTGAGGACATTCCATTACTATTGCACCTGATAAAAAAGCCTTTTGGGATACCCTGTTTGGGATACCCAGTTTGGGATACCCAGTTTGCGATACCCAGTTTGGGATACCCAGTTTGGGATACCCAGTTTGGGATACCCAGTCTGGGATACCCAATTTGGGATACCCAGTTTGGGGATACCCAG